GAATGGGTAAGTGGCTGGGGGCTGCAGGAGGGTTCAAGTGCTGTCAAGAGAGGGGGAGCACCCGTGCGCCGTCATGTGCCGCCGCCGCAGCTCCCTTATTGACTTTGCTCGTGTTCCTACAAGTTGTAAGAACACATTAGGGGTCAGGAGCAGGGAAGAGAGAAAAGCTAATGACTGCTCGGTTTATTATTAATGTTATTAGGCGAGCGCGAGGCAGGATCGCAGCCGAGTGGATGGCTGGAGCCCGTGGCACGTTGTATATTATTCCTGACACCGATCGTAGCAGTTAACATTTTAGCACGTTTGTTTTACAGCCTGGTGTAATTGTGCTGTTAAGCGAGAGGCGCTAACAGCACCAGAAACAGTCTTCAAAAAGTTAGTCGCGACTCAGAAGCACCGCGTTGCCCTCGCCTCTCCCAAGATGTAAAAGAATTTCCTCAACTACTTTTCCTTCCTCCCCCTCCCCCACGACTTCGAAAATGTTTTTCTTTTCCTTTCCTTTTCTCTTCTTCGTGTTCCCTTCTCCTGTGGCAATAAAGCTGACTTGTCTGTTGGGGCGATCTCGTTTTTCATCGTTGGAATGTGCTTTTTTGATACATGCTCGATGCACAGTCTGGAGAGCTCCGACATTTGTTTCCACAGTTTCTCTTTCTTTCTCTCTCTTTCATTTTTATTTAATTTGTTTTTTTTTTTTTTTCTCTTGCTCCCCCCCTCCAATTCTGGGGACATCTCACTATTAGAAGCGTGCGTGGAGTGGCCCGGGGTGTCCCCGAGCTGTGACATCTGCCTTGCGACGAGGAGCGGTTCGGTCGCCTCCTTCTGAGCCGTTCGCCATGTCCGACGGGTGTGTTTGTGTGTTCGCTTGCAGAACCTGCCTTCGGGGAAGTGAACCAGCTCGGCGGGGTGTTTGTCAACGGGAGACCCCTGCCCAATGCCATCAGGCTGCGGATTGTGGAACTGGCGCAACTGGGTATCAGGCCGTGTGACATCAGCCGGCAGCTCCGCGTTTCCCACGGCTGTGTCAGTAAAATCCTGGCTCGCTACAACGAGACCGGCTCCATCCTACCGGGGGCTATCGGAGGCAGCAAGCCTCGGGTCACCACCCCCACCGTGGTAAAACATATCCGGACCTACAAACAAAGGGATCCGGGCATCTTCGCTTGGGAGATCCGGGATCGCCTGCTGGCCGATGGCGTGTGTGACAAGTACAACGTGCCGTCGGTCAGCTCCATCAGCCGCATCCTCCGGAACAAAATCGGGAACCTGTCCCAGCAGAGTCACTACGAGTCCTACAAGCAGCACCAGCCGCCCCCACAGCCTGCTCTGCCCTACAACCACATCTACTCTTACCCCAGCCCCATCGCTGCTGCAGGAGCCAAGGTGCCCACCCCTCCCGGGGTGCCCGCGATCCCCAGCACCATGGCCATGCCCAGGACGTGGCCGTCCTCCCACTCGGTGACGGACATCCTGGGGATCCGGTCCATCACAGACCAAGGTGAGGAGGGGGGACCCGGGGCCGCAGCGGCAGCCAGGCAGGGCCGGAGCGTTTCGGTCCTTTGCTCCTGGGCTCCTTCCTCTCCGAAGGTCGGAAGGAGGTTTCGTGGTTTGCCTCGGGAAAACTCTCGCGTTTTTCCCAGCCCGACCTGGGCACTGAGCTTACCGGAGGATGTGCCTCGGGACGCGGGCAGATCGGAGATCCCGGAGTGGGCTGTACGCGAAGCAGCAAACGGTACATACCGGCGGTCACCGCTGCCGTCGTGACCCGAGAAGCGGAGACCTCGGCCGGAGGGAACGGCCCGGGGCGCGGCCGCTCAGCCCCGGCCCCGCGGCCGTCCCGGTCCCGGCCGGGGCTCGCTGCCGCCCTCCAGTCACAGGCGCCGCCTTGGCGTTACCGAGAAGTCCATTTTCTCTAGCTTTCGCAATCAGGCCAAATTTGCTCCGGCAGGAAGTTCAAATGTCACCTAATTGCTTGCATTCTGATGCTGTATTTTCCTCCGAAGCGGTGGTCCAGGAAAACCAAACCCCTAAGATTTTCTTCTTTTATCCTTTCCACCTTCTTTCTATTTCTCCGTCTGGAAACTGCCTCGCGTCTCCCAGCCGCTCGCTACGCTTTGCCGCAAAGAAAGGGACATTTTTTCCATTTCGGTCTCTGCCAGTGAACTAACAGTGAATGTGGTTAAAACAACAGTCTAAAATAACCTTCGCCTACAGCGATCTCTGTGTCCCACTCTTCCCTCCCAATTAGCGGAGGGGGGGTGTGTGTGTGGGGGCTGTGATTTCTGTTTTCATTGCGTTTTTAACGGCAACAATCCGGTTCCAGCAACACTTCAAATGCAAATTCATCCTTTAGGCATTGCAGAATAATTTTCTTTTCCTTTTTTTTCCAAAATGTGCTATTTTTTTTCAAGCAACACACACACATACAAGTATGCTTTATTTATATTTGCGCGTACAGAAATATATATGTTTTTTGTCCTTCTTCTCTCTCTACTTTACGATATAAACTTTATCCTCAGATCGCACTGGCACAAACAAACATGTTTCTGAGTCGACGTTAACAAATACTTGCCTGACGATCTCTGCTCTGCGCTAGGGAGAGGTGGTGTTGGCAATGAACATTAAAAAGAATGAGAACATTACAATCACATGAGAAATGGAGTGGTTTTGCTTTTTTTTTTTCCAGTGAGTTGCTCTTTTATTAACACCACATTCGCAGGCGGGCGGGCCTCTGACGATACTGCCGGGTGCCTTGGTATCTGCCCCGTCTCCCTCAGACCTAGGAGCTGCACATATCTTTCTGCAGCATAAAATCCCCCTCCTCCGCTTCCCAGCAGAGAGCCGGGGCTGCTGAGCGGCCGATACCGCAGATGGGGGCTGCTCGCCCTTGATTTATAGGATAAACTGACCTTGCTGACACGGAAAGGAAGCCCCTATTCATGGGAAAGTGTGAGATCAGCAGAAAAGGGCACTCACCGAGAGAGCTCGATTTCTTAAGACAACTTCAAATTTGTGCCTTGCCCCAACCTCGACGAGGGCCCGAGTGAGGTGGTGTCGCGGGGAACCCCGCTCCCACGGCGGCTCCGGTGGGCCCGCAACCCCGCGGGCTCCGCTGCGGCCGGGTCCGGGGCTCGGAGGAGCCTTTTTCCCCCCGGGGTTCCCCGGTGGTGCCCGGGGAATTTGCACGCCTGCAAAACAGCCCGGTATTCCCTTGCCGCGGCTGATGTGAGTTTAAATAACAGGAGTTTTATCTTTTTCCCCCCTCTTTCTTATCTTCCTTTTTTCTTCTTCTTTTTTTTTTTTTTTTTTTTCCCCCCCAAAACTTGTTTGGAGCCTAGTTCATCTGCGGCAGTGTCAGGGTTATTTGTAACAGAGGGCACCGTTTGTCCTCGGACCCGCGCGCGCACACACACATACGAGGCGATTCCCGTAAATACCCCTTAGGATATCCCGGGGGACAAGTGCCG